AGGAGATTGAGACCATCCTGGCTAACACGGTGAAACCCTGTCTCTACTAAAAATACAAAAAATTAGCCGGGCGTGGTGGCATGTGCCTGTAGTCCCAGCTACTGGGAGGCTAAAGCAGGAGAATCTCTTGAACCCGGGAGGCGGAGATTGCAGTGAGCCAAGATCGTGCCACTGCACTCCAGCCTGGGCGACAAGAGCGAAACTCCATCTCAAAAAAAATAAACACAATGGAGTTTCTCCCCACCGAGGACGAAAGAACAGTATTGTGGAGGAAGCAGTAAGAAGCTTGGAACAATGATGTCAATTTCTGGGAAAATAAGCAGAGGCTTCACTCAGCAGGGTATCCTTGGGAGAGATCCAGGTCTCCATGGGTATTGGGGGGGTCCAGGGGAGGGACAAGGAACCACCTTGTCAAAAGGCTAGAGGAATAAACAAGTCTTCCAGAAGGCTCAGGGGAAAGAACATTTGTGAAATGGGTTGGTGTGGGTGCTAATACTTAATACCTGCCACATATGTAAGGTTTCCTTCCACAGTTTCATCTTTCACTATCTGTTTACAACTAGGACAGTTGTTATGATCCCCTTTTTAGAATGAGGGACCTGAGGTTCAGAGATGTGAAATGTCTTGACCAAGGGTACATTAGTTAATATGAGTGGCAAAGCCAGGACATCAATGCACAGCCAGACTCCACCACAGGATGTAAGGCCTGATCTAATTGTCCTATTCATTTATGAGGCTAATGGATAAAGATAGTCTGTATATACAAAGGGCTCAGTATAATAACTATTGTATTTTTAATCTCAAATGGGAAAAATAACAAGCTGGAAAACAAATTTGATAACAGGGTGCGGATTGACTGAATTGTGTGGGATAAGGGTGTATCCTCATTCAACAAGTGTCAGTTCATGGCCCACCACCAGCATAACATTTTGCTAAATCCGCACAAGATGACTTTTTTTTTTTTTTAAGATGGGGTTTCATTCTTGTTGCCCAGGCTGGAGTGCAATGGCACAATCTCGGCTCACTGCAACCTCCACCTCCCGGGTTCAAGTGATTCTCTTGCCTCAGCCTCCTGAGTAGCTGGGATTACAGGTGCCCACCACCACGCCCAGCTAATTTTTGTATTTTTAGTAGAGATAGGGTTTTACCATGTTGGCCAGGCTGGTCTTGAACTCTTGACCTCAGGTGATCAACCCGCCTCAGCCTCCCAAAGTTCTGGTATTATGGGCATAAGCCACCGTGCCCGGCCAGATGATTTTTTTTAAATGAAAATGAAGCCCATCATTAAGTTGATTGCTTATGTTCTCCTTTTGTAATCTTTTTTTTTTTTTTTTCTATTTTTTGAGTCAGGGTCTCACTCTATCACCCAGGTTGGAGTACAGTGGCATGATCACAGCTCACTGCAGCCTCCAGCTCCCAGGCTCAAGCAATCCCCCTGCCTCAGCTTCCCAAGTAGCTGAGACAACAGGTGCAAGCCACTACACCCAGCTCATTTTTTATTTTTTGTGTAGACAGGGTCTCGTTATGTTGCCCAGGCTGGTCTCAAACTCCTAGACTCAAGCAATCCTCCCACCTTGGCCTCACAAAATGCTGGGATTATAGGCATGAGCTATTGTGCCCAGCCTAATCTCTTATTTTTAAGAATTCTACCTTTCAGAACACTTGTAAAACTGTCTATCCCTTGGTGACCACAGTGTTCACCACGATTTTAAGTGTACCTTAAGATAAAGCAGAGTAAGGCTGAAAGGACTGGGCCCCACCTCTGCTATGGGAAGGACCAGCACTATACTTCTTTTGCAAGTGAGGAAACTTGAAGGGCAAAAAGACAAGTAAAACATCAAGTTTAGGCCGGGCACGGTGGCTCACTCCTGTAATCCCAGCACTTTGGGAGGCCGAGGTGGGTGGATCACCTGAGATCAGGAGTTCGAGACCAGCCTGGCCAACATGGTGAAACCCCGTCTCTACTAAAAACACAACATTAGCCAGGTGTGATGGCAGGCGCCTGTAATTCCAGCTATTTGGGAGGCTGAGGCAGGAGAATCGCTTGAACCCAGGAGGCAGAGGATACAGTGAGCCGAGATTGTGCCACTGCACTTTAGCCTGGGCAAGACAGAGCGAGACTCCGTCTCAAAAAAAAAAAAAAAAAAAAAAGTCAAGTTTATTCACCTACTAGATGATGGAATTAGAAGCCCATCCTAGGCTTCTCACTCAAATTCCAGGCTCTGTTCAATCATACTTGAAGCAAATATCCTATTCTGGAAAGTCGCAATCACTTTCAGGTTCTCACTGACTTAATAAAGCCTAGAAAGGCATTGATCCTAAGACATCTCCTGACTTCAAAGCTGAATCAATACTTGGACTCTAAAAACAGGCTGGAATGTCATTAATGTCACTGAACTGTACACTAAAAAAAGTTATGTTCACTACAATTTAAAATATTAATAGTGTAATATACCAAAAATATATACCATTGAATTGTACACTTTAGACAGGTGAATTGTTTAAATCTCAATAAAGCTGTTTGGGGGAAAGAAAAAACAGGTTGGGCTTGATAACCTAAAATCCTGGACCTGAATAAAATGTAAATATAAGTCAGGCTGGAAAACTGGACAGCAGGGAAATCAGAGTTGTAATCAATTCCTCATGTACTCCCTCAGGTCACTGGAACCATCCTCCTCTTCTCAAAATAGCTGGGGACCAAGGAATCATGGATGTCCTTCCACAACTAATGACTGGAGACTGTGCTTGGGAAATGTGTCCATGAACTCCCTGCTCTGAAGCGGTACTTATTCACATCACTAGTTTTTTGTCAGTTTTACATGCTATTGTGGGAAAAGTTAAAAATATAGAAAAGACAAATGTTTAATTACCCAGCTTCAACCCATGGCCAGGCTTGTTTCATCTATATCCCTACCCATTCCCCCCCCCCATCCTGTATTAATTTGAAGCAAATTCCAGACATGGTATCATTTCTTTTTTTTTTTTTTTTTACGGAGTTTTGCTCTTGTCGCCCAGGCTGGAGTGCGACAGCAGGATCTCAGCTCACTGCAACCTCCGCCTCCTGAGTTCATGTGATTCTCCTGCCTCAGTCTCCCGAGTAGCTGGGATTACAGGCACCCGCCACCACGCCTGGCTAACTTTTTGTATTTTTAGTAGAGACGGGGTTCCACCATGTTGGTCGGGCTAGTCTCAAGCTCCTAACCTCAGGTGATCCACCCGTCTCGGCCTCCCAAAGCGCTGGGATTACAGGTGTGAGCCACCGCGCCTGGCCCAGATATGGTATCATTTCTTTGGTAAAATCTCAATACGCACGATGGATAAACAAAACGTGGTGTATACATACAAGGGAATACTATTCAGTCTTAGAAAGAAATTGACACAGCCTTGAGGACATTATGCTAAGTGAAAGAAGCCAGTCACAGACAAATATTGAATGATTCCACTTATATTAAGGTATCTAGTCAGACCCACAGAGACAAGAAGTAGAATGGAGGTAGGAGGGGGATGACAAGGACAGGAATGGGGAATTGTTTAATAGGTAGTTTCAGTTTTGCAAGATGAAGTTCTTTCTATTTTTCATTCTTTTTTTTTTTCTTTTTTTTGTGAGACGGAGTCTCTCTGTCACCCAGGCTGGAGTGCAATAGCTTGATCTCAGCTCACTGCAAGCTCCGCCTCCCGGGTTCACGCCATTCTCCTGCCTCAGCTTCCCAAGTAGCTGACTACAGGCACCCGCCACCATGCCCGGCTAATTTTTTTTGTATTTTTAGTAGAGATGGGGTTTCACCGTTAGGCAGGATGGTCTCGAACTCCTGACCTTGTGATCCGCCCGCCTCGGCCTCCCAAAGTGCTGGGATTACAGGCATGAGTCACCGTGCCCGGTCTATTTTTCATTCTTTTAATTGCAAGATGAAGAGTTCTGAATATTCATTTCACAACAACGTGAATGTACTTAACAGTAGTGAATTGTACACTTAGAAATGGTTAAGATGGTAAATCATATTAAGATGGTAAATTTTGTGTATTTTACCACAATTAAAAATTTTTAATTTCACAATTCCTCCATTTTATCAACTACCCAGTGTCCAAATTTCCAGTTCTTATAAGTATCATATATTTTTTTCAATGTGTTTGCTGAATTAGGGTCCTAATAAAATGCACAAGGGGCCATGGGTTACATCTCTTAAGTCTTTTTTAATCTATAGGTTCCCCACCACACCCCCCTCTTCCTTGCAATTTATTTGAAGAAACAAGGTTGTCTGTCCTGTGGCTTCTCATAGTCTAGATTCTGCTGACAGCATCCCATTGTGTTTTTTTTTTTTTTTTTTTTTTTTTTTTAAGAGGGAGTCTCGCTCTGTCGCCCGGGCTGGAGTGCAGTGGCCGGACCTCAGCTCACTGCAAGCTCCGCCTCCCGGGTTCCCGCCATTCTCCTGCCTCAGCCTCCCGAGTAGCTGGGACCACAGGCGCCCGCCACCTCGCCCGGCTAGTTTTTTGTATTTTTAGTAGAGACGGGGTTTCACCGTATTAGCCAGGATGGTCTCGATCTCCTGACCTTGTGATCCGCCCGTCTCGGCCTCCCAAAGTGCTGGGATTACAGGCTTGAGCCACCGCGCCCGGCCTCATTGTGTTGTTTAACACCTTATTCTGTTCTCTTATTCCCTGTTAGTTGGGCTTGGCAGCTTTGGGTTAGTTTTCAGTTGGGCTCAGGAGGAGGCTAAAGACATCCAATTCCGCGGGAACCCAGCCCTGCGGGACCTGAAAAGGCGAGGCTAAGTCACCAGGCAAGCTGCTTAGAGGCAGTCTTAAAATGAGACTGGCTAGGACTTCGACAGACACCGCCTACACGCCTACTAGGTCAGTCACCTACAAAGCCGGCGAATGAGGAAAAAGGCAAGGCGGGGCTACGCTGGGAAAGCTCTTTGTCCCCTATCCACACGCACAAAACAGTTGTCACAACTGACGTCACCAGGGGCGGAGCCTTTGGACGGAAGTGACGCTTCTGCAGCCGCGGCGGAGTCGTCATAGAGGCGGGGCCGCAGGCGACTCCAGTTTTCCTCCGACTTCCGGACATCTCCCTGAGAGTCGCGCAGAGTGGAGTCAGAGGCAACCAGTCCTCGCTCCGGTCTCTGGGGATCCGGACCGCGGCGGCGGCCCCGCGGACGGGATGTTCCGGGGCTTGAGCAGTTGGCTGGGCTTGCAGCAGCCGGCGGCAGGCGGTGGGCAGCCCAATGCAGACGCTCCACCCGAACAGCCATCCGAGACGGTGGCTGAGTCCGCGGAGGAGGAGCTGCAGCAAACGGGAGACCAGGAGCTCCTCCACCAGGCCAAAGACTTCGGCAGTGAGTCTCCCCTGGCTCTGGGACCGGGATGGTGAGGGGCGCGTTCCTCCTCTGGGACGACCCTGGGGCGCGCGGGCCCGACTGGCTGTGGGATGAGGGGGCCGAGGTGAGAGGCAGGGGAGGAAGATGTGTCTGTCGGTCAGTCCTCTCCGGGTCGGGAGAGATTGGTGAGGATCTGGACAAGGCCACAGCTTCGTCTAGCAGTCAGGTCCTGTCCCTGAAGTTCCTGGTGGCAAGTCTACAAAGTTTGCAGACATTGGAATCTGGTATGCAGCCAAGCAGTGTGACCCAACGTCTTCGGGTTTGACGAGGAATCTTTTTTGTTCAATTTGAAAACCTTCACCTTCACCCCCCAGATCGGGATCGTTGGCGAGCTTGAACTGGTTGAAAAAATGTTTTTTTGCCCTTAGGTCAGAATGTGTTGTCTGAAGTAAACTGACAATTACTGAATGTCTGCCCCTGGCCATCTGCTTTTTAGGTACAGTGGGACCTTTTTCCTTGAGGGAGAGAAAATGCCACTGTCTGCTCTACGCAAGTTGCAGTACTAGATGTTTTATGAAAGATATCCCGTTTCATCTGTTAAACACCCCCAGTGAGTTAGGGGAACAAGCCCAGAGCTATTGGGCCAAAGTTATACTGATAGTGAGTGGTGGAAATGGAATTTGAACTTCGATCTGCCTAATTTTAAAGCCCGTGCTCTTTCCGAGTTTACAGCCTACAGGGGTTGGGGGACGAGTAATAATAAACGTGAAGTAAACACATGCTGTAGTAATTCTCATTTATGGAGAGACCGTAGTGGGCTTCAGTGATCAGAGGAAGCATGTTTGAGGCCCAGTGCGGTGGCTCACGCCTGTAATCCCAGCACTTTGAGAGGCTGAGGTGGACAGATCATGAGGTCAGCAGTTTGAGACCAGCCTGGCCAACATGGTGTAACCCCGTCTCTACTAAAAATACAAAAAATAGCCTGGCGCGCACCTGTAATCCCAGCTACTCAGGAGGCTGAGGCAGGAGAATCGCTTGAACCAGGGAGGTGGAGGTTGCAGTGAGCTGAAATCGCACCACTGCACTCCAGCCTGGGTGACAGAGCAAGACTTCATGTCAAAAAACAAAACAAAACAAAACAAAAAAGCATCTTTGAGGAGTTAAGCCCTAAAGCAGCCCAGCACTACAAGTGAGAGAACTGCAACAAAGGTAGATATTAAGTTCAGCAAGCATTTGAAGAATCTACTAAAAGATGGGGGTGTGGGAGGAGAGCAGCCTGAGAGTGGATAAACACATATTTGAGTAAGACAGGGCCTAACAGTTTTTCTGGAGACAGGGTCTCAGTCTTTTGTCCAGGCTGGAGTGCAGTGGCACGATCTTGACTCACTGCAACCTCCGCCTCCGGGGTTCAAGTGATCTTCCTACCTTATCCTCTCCAGTAGCTGGGATTACAGGTGCGCACCACCACGCCCAGCTAATTTTTGTATTTTTAGTAGAGATGGGGTTTCACCACGTTGAGCAGGCTGGGCCCTAACGTTTAAAAGTTTACTGTGGGATGAAAGCACAGGGAAAACAGACATCATCTCAAACCATGATAGTACATAGTCTCAGCCCAAGGCCCCCAGATAGAATAGTCTTGCTCTGTCGCCCAGGCTGGAGTGCAATGGCACGATCTCACTGCAGCCTTGGCTCACTGCAACCTCCACCTCCTGGGTTCAAGCATTTCTCCTTCCTCAGCCTCCTGAGTAGCTGGGACTACAGGCACACGCTGCCACACCTGGCTAATTTTTTTTTTTTTTTTTTTGTACTTTTAATAGAGTCAGGGTTTCACCATGTTGGTCAGGCTGGTCTCAAAGTCCTGATCTCAAGTGATTCACCCACCTTGACCTCAAAGCGGTGGGATTACAGGCATGAGCCACTGCACCTGGCCCCTCTGAATATTTTTTAATAACTGCATTTTTCATATGGATGTGTACTTTGGAGCTAATGCTGCCATCTTTCTGCTCACCAGATTCTCTTTTGATATTTACGGAAGCTGAGGTTAGATGGAAGTACCCACAAACACACACACATTGTGAATTTAAAGCTTCAGAATAAATGAGAATTCTTTCCTTTCTGAAATTTATGCAATTTTAGAAAGTCGTGAAGGTTCTAGTTCATATACAAACTGTGAGAGACAAGACAGATGATCCGATATTTTTTATTTCTACATATTGATCCTAAGAAGTATATTGTCTTTAAGAAGACCCATTTATGTTTTGAAAACTGGAATTTAACATCTGTGAACCTGACTCCCAGAGTAGATTCGTTTCTTAAGTCTTTTGAAATCTACATAAAATCTCAGCCAGGTGTGGTGGCTCATGCCTGTAATCCCAGCAGCTTTGGGAGGCTGAGGCGGGCAGATCACAAGCTCAAGTGATCGAGACCAGCCTGACTAACGTGGTGAAACCTTGTCTCTACTAAAAATACAAAAAATAGCCAGGCATGGTGGCGGGCACCTGTAATCCCAGCTACTCAAGAGGCTGAGGCAGGAGAATTTCTTGAACCCGGGAGGCGGAGGTTGCAGTGAGCCGAGATCGCGCCATTGCACTCCAGCCTGGGCAACAAAGCGAGACTCCATCTCAAAAAAAAAAAAAAAAAAATCTCCTGGGAGCCCCATTTGTTCTGCATACATTTGTTGAGTGCCTACCTTCAAGACTGGACACTAAATACTTCCTGGTTCCTGGTGACCTATTTATACATTTAGGCAACTCACCAGTTAGTGGTGGGCACCCAGGCCTGCATTCCACTCCCTCACTCAAAACCAAACCTCCTGATCTCCTGATTCTTGGCCTTCCCTCCTGATAAACTTACAACCTCCTGTTGTCACTGTCTCCAAAGGAAGGAACAATTTATAGGAGAACTCACTTAAGAGCTCCTCCCTACCTCCCTCAAGGCCCTATGCCCTTAAGTTAGTTGGTTGGTTGGTTTTTGTTTAAGTCAACCAAATTAGAGCTTTGCCTCTGCTCTTTCTAAAAAAAGAACAAATAAATAAAAAGAAAATCTGTACCTCTGAGAATGTTAAATATCTGAATCATTCACACAGTTTACATCAGTGGGAGGATGACCAAAGATGAGCTTTGTGATATTTGGCTTTTTCTAAACCATCCCTAAAACTACTCTATGCTTAGGAATGGGGAAAGGGCCACTTCCTCCTCCTCCTCCTCCTTTGAAAAGTGCTATTAGTATTGCAGAGGGACTGTGTTAGACTGTCCTTTTTTTCTGTAGGGGAAAGTATATTTCAAGTTCCAGCTGCCTAACTTGCAAACTAAGAGGACTCCTAAAGTGTACAGAGGTGACTATGTACCTGCTTTGATGCAGAAGTAAAATATCTAATTGAGTTCTGATAACACACCCAGGTTTACAATGCAAACAGTTAATAGCTTGGATCCTAGGGCTTATGAACAATACTTTTTAGAATTGGGGATCTCAATTTGAAGAAGAAACTTAGGGACATTGCAGAAAATCTGAAAGGTCTTTTGCAGAAAAGAAGTCGTAGATGTTCCTTATGAAGATAGACCTGAGGCTGTGAGGTAGAAATTACTAGAGAAGTGAGAAGAATTTTCTGATTAGAGATGAGTAACGGTAATTACTAGCTGCCCTTCTAAGTCCTGTGCTCCCCACCCCTGGAAGTGGGGCTACCTGGATAGGAAGGTCCATTCCCACACTAAGATGCTGAAATTCTAAAATTGTATGAAATATAGTATCTTTGAAAAATTAACCAACTACTTTATATGAATATTAATTTCCTAAGACTTTGCCACTGTATCCTTATTCTCTTCCTATTCTTGCTGCAGGCCTTAAACTCTACCTTGCGCTGTGTTTACTTTGACAAATTTATGTTTTTTTCTGACCTTTGAAGCTCTTCCTACTTTCCTTTATTTTTTTTTATTTTTTTATTTTTTGGAGACAGAGTCTCGCTCTGTCGCCCAGGCTGGAGTGCAGTGGCCGGATCTCAGCTCACTGCAAGTTCCGCCTCCCGGGTTCACGCCATTCTCCTGCCTCAGCCTCCCGAGTAGCTGGGACTACAGGCGCCCGCCACCTCGCCCGGCTAGTTTTTTGTATTTTTTAGTAGAGACGGGGTTTCACCGTGTTAGCCAGGATGGTCTCGATCTCCTGACCTCGTGATCCGCCCGTCTCGGCCTCCCAAAGTGCTGGGATTACAGGCGTGAGCCACCGCGCCCGGCCCCTACTTTCCTTTATTCTTACCATTCCTTTCAGTTCTTCAAGCCCTTGTCAACTTGCTCAACTGACCTGAGGCAGTATGGGATTGGAGCATGAGCTTGGGATTTAGAGGCAGATAGCCTGTGTTTGAGTTCCCTACACTACTTGCTGTCTTTATTGTTATATCATTTGCAAATTGCAGAAAGTCCAGTGATCAGAAGCTTAATGAAAGGACCTTTATTTTTGTGTGGGGGAGTCCCCAAGAACCATCCCCAGGTTTGATGATTGGCTGGGAAGACTTATGGGACTCAGCATATAGTTGTATTCATAGTCGTGATGTATTGCAATGAAAGAGTACAAGAGTAAAATCAGGAAAGGAAAAAGGCACATGGGTTGGAAGTCCAGGGGTAAGCAGGCACAGTAGCGCCACACAGGATGTGCTTAATTCCTCTAGCAAGGAGTTGTGACAACACATGTGAGATGCTGTCTTCCAGGGAAGCTCATTAGAGACTCAGTGCCCAGGATTTTTATTGGGGACTGGTCACATAGGTACCCTCTGCTTGCCACATATCCAAATTCCAGACCCCCACAAGGAAAGCAGGAGTTCAGCATAAACCACAGTGAGGCATTCTTAGCAGTTTAAGAAATGGTGGGAGCCCTCCTGAAATCTAAGTTCCCGGACACCCAGTCAGTGGCCAACCTTGAAAGCAACCTTTCCAAGGATAGCAGTCTCAGGCCTGCCATGTTAATGCTTTTCTGCAGAATCTCCAAGAAGTTTGGGGATGGGAGGGAGGACCCAGGGTCGGTTCCATGGC